CCTCACCATTATAGACCTCTCTAGAAGTCTGGCATTCTTCATATTCTAGCACGCATGCTTCTCCTTCATTATCCTCTCTTTCTTCTTCTTCTTCTTTCTCTTTATTCTAGAACTCATTGGCTAGTAAATAGTTATTAGCCACGACAGGAGGTAACGTACCGAACAGAATAGTAAGGGGCTGATCTGGATCTTCTCCATTCCTTCTGTTTCGCTCAAACTTTGATCTCTTAGAAGAAGTTTCTAGCAACTCTTCATTGATTCATCTGTACCAGTCTCTTTACTGTCTTTGAGAATATTTTGATTGGCTACCTCGAGTAGTTTAGGCGCCTTAGGACGTGGCACTCCCTATTGTTGCCTCCTCATTCGTCCATAATTTCGTTGGAAACGCCTCTATTGGGTTCTAGTCATCTCGTTGAAGGGTATCGCCTTTCCTACATTATACTGGAATGAATGTCATACATTTGGTTGGCGAGGCTGCGGCCTGAATGTTCTCTCATTATTTACTGGCCTGAATTGCCTCTCAAAAGGCGGTCCCTTATAGAATGATGTACCTCGCCCTCTACCAGGCTGAGCGTTTGGGAAGAAAGTAGGGCGATGGGGATGCTGCCATATCCTTGGTTTCTCCATATTCCTGCTCACTTCTCTTTTACATCTTGCACACAAGACATCTTCATCCTTTTTTAGCTCCTTCCCTTTAATACGCTCAAAGACGCTGGGATGTGGTCCAGGGTTTTCTTTTCCATCATCTATAACCAGTTTGAATTTTGACAACTTGTTTTTGAAACCAGACGTCACCATATTCACTCCAAGTGGCTGTGGAAAAGGATTTTCATCCACTGCCATCTTCTTTTTATCATCGAACGTAATTCGTCCTAATTCAATGGCATCCTGTAACACATGGTGAAAAACCAAGCAATTGTTAGTCAAATATGACCATGCATTATGCCACTTACAATATTTTTTACCCTTAATTTGTTCAGGATTTGGCAATTTATGCTTATCGCTCAATTTTATCTGCTTATCCTTATATAATTTATCAAATATAACGTCAGCTTTGGTTACATCGAACGAGAACGTTCTAACTTTTATGTTTTCATCTTTCATGGGCTCATCCTTGCCCAATGGTCTAGGCTTAGCCATTATAGGACAAGTATACATGTCTCCTTTGAATAATTCGGCCAAACATATTTCGATCTGATCGTATGACTCGTTATTGATGATATGAACATCAAAATTTGGGTCTCTATAATAAGTCCCCTTGCTAGAATTGTTTATCTGCTCTTCTTCTCTTATCAATCGTTCATACCTGCTCACGTTCGCGCTCAATTGGAAAAGGTCAAGAAATTCCTTGTCTTGGAATTTGTTTTTCAAATCAAAGCTCAAACAACCTTGAGCAATTTTGACAAACTCTTTTTCGGGTAGAGGTACAAAACATTTACTTTTTGCTGTTCTGAACCTTTGGAGGAAACCTTCTGCCCATTCGTTTGGCATTTGACGTAGGTTCGCCAAATCGGCCAAAGTAACTCAGACTTAGTCTTATAAAACTGAGCATGGAATAATTGTTCCAATTGTTGCCGTGTTTGAACAGAGTTCGCTGGCAAATTGATGAACCAGGAGAAAGCTACTCCTGTTAATGAACTAGAGAAAAGCCTCATTTTATGGTAATCAGTTACGTCTCCACTTTGCAGTGTGAATCGCCCTATGTGTTCTAGAGTAGACACCTCTCCTAAACCGGTGAACAGTGAGAATTCTGGCACTTTATACCCTCTAGGCCATGGATATGCTTGGTCTACCCAATCAGGATATGACTTTGTGTAAGTCGGCCTAATGATAGGACGTACCCTAAAAGCCATCTGATCCTGTACGATTTCCATAATTTGATTCCTCATCATGACGTTGGGGTCATATGGAATTCCTACAGGTTGGTTAACCGGTTGATTTGTTTGAGGCCTGATGTTTGGTCCTTGATTGGCAACAAAGTGACCATGATTTGGGTCATTGTTACCATTAGCCTGAACATTTATTCTCTCATTAACACGTGGGGTATTCTGCCCATTATTTAGGACATTATCTCTTACATTTGGATTACCCCCCAAGTTAGGCGTACCACTACCATTATTTTGATTTGGCCTTACACCATCCCCTTAGTTTGAAGTAGAGGGAACGAAAGGTGGTTCTACCCCTTGACTTGGATTTAGGACTGGGGGATTATGTCCCACAATTGTCCTAATTTGAAAGTGGTTTGCAAGAGGCTTAACTGGTTGACAAATTTGGCCTACTAACTTATTCATTATTTCGTTTAAAGTATTCAGTTGTTTGGCCAAGTTGTCATAATGTGCATTCCCATTCTGGGTAAATCTTTCCATATTATGAATGTTTAGAAGATTTACCTGTTCAACGACATCTTGTGTGAGTTCTCCAAGTAGTGCACGCATAGTTCGAGGACTCGACTCTGTCATTGATTCGTAACGACTATTACTGCTCTGATTCTGTCCATCTATTCGTGGAGAGCTATGCTGCTCCTCATATCGCTCGATCACAGACTGGACTCCTCCCTGACTTACTGCTTCCTTATCGGATCTATGAGGCATATTGTTTCACCTTTTGTATCTTCAACACCAAACACCACTGTTCCACTGGGCGTGCCAAATTGTTTCGCGCGGGTTAGTCGCTAACAATTAAAAGGGATCAGACGATTGTATAAGGGACAAACCTCTTGAGACAAAGTTCCAAAAAGAGGTGTTTTTATTGACGATGACTTACAATTGGAAAATAAAAACAGAATGCCTTCAAGGGGCGCAATCACACGAGTTACTGAAAAGAAGTGTTTAAATCTAAACTAAGAAATTTAAAGTTACATATTCTCTGTTTGAGAGTGTTTGATTCCGGGTCCTTTGCTCTATGTCTTTTCTTTCTTTTATACTCCCTGGATGATCTCTTCGTGATCAACCACTTAAAAGCTGCTTGATCGCTATATAACTGCCAACTTTCTTCATAGTGGCCAACTTGTCATTGAATTGCCTTCTCTAACTATTGTCATTACTTTTGGTCATTCAATCGTCTTCAATTGAATTCCTTGAATCGTGAAACGTGATAGGGCTACCCAATAACTGCTTCATTAACCGCATTTTTGGGTAACCATAACATCTTATGTTTGCTAAGATTCTGGGCGACTCGAAAGTTTGGGCGAGAACAGGGTAACAGCTCTGGGCAATTATATGGCAATCCATTCGCTCAAATCTTGGGCGACTTGCAAGTTTGAACGATGGTATTACCGCGTTCATGGGCTTCCCTATTTGGGCCTTTATCCTGAATTGCCTGATTGGACCGTTCTTTGGGTTATCTGATTTGGAGATCCTCCAATTGGATTTCATTCTTTGGGTTATTCGATTTGAGCTGAATTTTTGTATGTCAATAGTTATCTAAGAAAACAGCACAAAAACACAAAGATCCACCAATGAAGAACAAAGGTAAGGGTAACTCTACCGGGTCTTTTTCTACGGCATGTACTGAGTGGATGACAGTGGTATACAATGGTTCCTCTGATTGGAGCATGGCACCCAATTTAGTGAAGTAGTATCCCAATGAAAATTGTGGCCACAACAGAGGCTGGTTTTGATAGACTTCTTGAATTTTGAGATTTCACATTTGATTTATATTAACGATTGTGAGAAAGTAGCTACCGCTAACATCTGGTCTACTTACTTTTGGTCCAATAGTTCGAGTAAATTTAACCAATAATCACTGAACTTTACCCTTGATTACTACTTGCTCACTCATCTTTCACAGGTTACTGAATGCTCACTCATCTTTTCATATAATTACTCATTCACCACTCGTTTTTTCAAATAATTGAACGATTTTTATGACAAATTTTCGACAACTTCCGACCACAAAGAATGCCGAATTTTGATACCGTTGGAAAGCCCACGATGTCCTCTTCAATTACACACCAAAATCTCATTATAACTCCAAGGGATTCGATCGGAAAATTGCCTTAAAAGTCGCCCAAAAAATCTGAAAATCTGGGCAGATTTTCAGAATTTTTGGGCCACGTTTAAGGCAATTTTTCGATAACTTTCGACCATCAAAACTATCTAATTTTGATACCATTAGAAAGCCCACAACGTCCTCTTCAATTACCACCCAAATTTTTCCGATAACTCTAAAGGATTCGGTCGGAATAAACCCACAAAGTCAGCATCCTGAACTTTGTCCAAATTTTCGCCTTTTCGATGCTGACTTTGTGGGTTTATTCCGACCGAATCTTTTGGAGTTATGGGGAAATTTTGGATGGTAATTGAAGAGGACATTGTGGGCTTTCAAATGGTATCAAAATTCGATAATTTTTATGGTCGAAAGTTGCTGAAAAATTATCTTAAAAGTCGCCCAAAAAATCTGAAAATCTTGGCAGATTTTCAGAATTTTTGGGCAACTTTTAAGGCAATTTTCCGATCGAATCCCTTGGAGTTATAATGAGATTTTGGTGGGTAATTGAAGAGGACATCGTGGGCTTTCTAACGGTATCAAAATTCGGCATTTTTTGTGGTCGGAAGTTGTTGAAAATTTGTCATAAAAGTCGTTCAATTATTTGAAAAAACGAGTGATGAATGAGTAATTATATGAAAAGATGAGTGAGCAAGTAGTAATCAAGGGTAAAGTTCGATCCTCTGCTTCGACTTCAAATAGACTCGTCAATGAAACCAACAAAAACATGAGAAGAGCTGCAGAAGCGTCTGTTTATATTATTGGGCTGTGGGGTTTAATATTATTGTTGTACTATAAAACAAGGCAAAGAATTTCAGCAATCAGAATTTTCACACTTTTCATTTGTTCTTTGACTGTTTATTTCTTCATCTTCAAGTTTGCTCAAGTTTATTGTTTAATTTTTGATTTTTTGTTCTCTTCTTTTTTCGTTCGACAGCTGTACAGAGAATCCCCACCTTCATCTTCTTCAGCATCAACTACAGCAAATTCAGCGATTCTTTAATAAGTTAATTAGCCAATAGTCTTGCGGCTTATGATTATAATTCTTGTAATTTTTTACGAAGTTTTTATGGGTTGAAATATTGCCAAATTTATTTAGTCAAGATCCCATTTTTCCCTGTTGATAAATTTGGGGTTAATGAATTTGAGAAGCAGGTTTTAGTATCGTTTTGATTTTGAATTTTTTTAAAAATCAAATTGAACAATTCCAATTCTTTGTTGAGGAAATTTGCCAACAGTCTTGCGCCTTACGGTTTAAATTAGTTTATAATTCTTTTGATTTGTTTTGAAGGTTTTATGGGATTTAAGAGTCGCATAATTTATTTATTCAGGAGCCCTTTTCCTGTTTCACAAACTATTTTATTTTTCATAAGTTTGAGACTTGCATTTTAGTGCCGTTTCAATTTTGAATTTTTTGGTTAAATTGACACTATCTTTGAGCTGCAATTCACATCAATCTGTCAATTTTTTCTATATCTGAATACATTTTAAGGAGTAGGATTTGTCAACTAATTTTTGGGTACTGGGGTATTATGGGGAATGGGTTGGTTAGTTTAGGGGAATGGTTAGGCCAAGGTTTTGAGAAGAGTTATTTGAAGAAGTATGGGAAGAAAGAGCGTTGGTCTACAATTTTGAGTCTTTGGCGTTCTTGCAGGGTTCTCTTTTTTCATCTTCTCTATTGATCCTGCTTAAGTTTTACAGCTATAGATTTATACCTTTATTTTTTATAGACTTGATGCAAGAAGATGTGATGTGAATGATACTGCATGATTGATGATTCAGGTTCTTGATTTAGGATTTATTGTTAGATGTGAAAGTTTTTATAAATTGATTTGTGGGGAATATCTTGATGGGTTCTTGGTTATTTGGTGAAATAAGTGTTAATTATCTGTTTATTTATGTACTTCTAAAGCAAGTTGGTTGAATTGATGGATGTAGTTGTGTACTATTTTTTTGTTGAGTAAATGTTCCAAAAAAAAAAAATAATCGTTCTTCCAGTTTACTTCTTATCTGTTCGTGTAGAATATTTGCATTTCCTTTAATGAGTCTACATTTTCTCTTTACAGGTAATTTGCCTGAAGTTTAATTTACCCTTTTTATTTCTACGTGTAGTATTCTATTTTCAAGCTGGTGGAATCAACGAACTTAATTGTGCATTTTTTCTTCGGGAAGTTATGCATGACAGTGTAAAATATATTCTTTTGGGACCTGGAATTTTGAAGAGATTATCACCTCTGTATTCTACAGGTAGAATCTGTTTGATTCCACAATGATTTGCTGTGCATGAACTATTCTAACTATTTTTCTCTCTACAGGTGTCACAGTTTGGATTACGTGGATGAACAACATTGACATAGATATGATGTTAATTAATATTACTTAACAGAGTCACTATTTGATAGATGTTTTCTTATCTCAAACGCTACATACTTATTCATCAATTCTTGCAGATGAACCCAGAGATGATTAGCATTTTGGAATAATCTGGCTTGAAATTTGTCGGGAAGTATGAAAGTGGGAAGCTAATGGAGGTTACCTATCTTTAACTTATTTTCTGTTGTAGAAATAATTGTCCTATTTTACTTAAGGATTGCTGATGCTTGTGTCCTATTTTACCCAATCATTTTCTATTGATTTGTGCAGTTACATCTTGAGGTCTCATGATGCTGAATTCTTCCTCTTTGCATCTAATCATTCCTATTTCTGCAAATTTTGAAGCTTCCGGGCCGTCTTTTTAGGTAGGGGTGCATTTTCATCCAGAATTCAAGTTTGTCTTGGGAGATCCTCAACTCTTTTTCTAGGTAAAATTTCATGCAAGATCACATTAGAAGAAAAGTGCGTACTGGGGGGGATATTATGATTGGGTTAAATTTGTGGTTTCAGACTAATGTAAAAATATAATTTGATACCAGTAGACAAAATTAATATGGCCTTCTACAGCAGGGAATGCAGAAAGGAGCTTTAAACATCCTCCTTGCTTCTTTCACTATTACTCTTGGTGGTGGTGCTGCCTTGCATTATTTTTTATGCCCTATGATGTGGAAAAGAATAGAACTGCTTTCCTGTTCTATTTTGTGAATATTCATATTTTCAATATCACTTAAAAAGTTATTTAATATTCTGCTACCAAAATTATTGATTTACAGAAGCAAATATATTGTTTGGAATCTCCAATTGGAGTGAGATTCTCTCATTCTGCTGATCCTTCCTCTTATTATGGTGTAAATGATAAAATTACAGGCATGTTTCTCCACTCTTTGAGTCTTGCTAAAGAAATTTTCAACTCTTCAAATTTTTATTTATTTTTAATTCCTAGAAAGACATCGTAAGTGACCATTTTCAAAAGGAAAAAAGATAAAATAAATAAATAAATAAATAAAGAATCACTTTCTTCTTGCTAAATTCTTTATATGGCCTTTTAACCACATATTTAAAAAGCAAAGAATGCATAAATGGAATAGTAACTTGTAAACTTTAGCTTTTTGAGCCATGTTCCAATTACTGTTTTTTCTTTCGACATAAGAAAAGACTCTTTACTTTATTTGTCTTTGTGTTTATTTCATAATACAGCCAAGGACAACTTGGTGTTCTTGCAAAAATGGTTCCTCAAATTTCCACATTACAGGATAAGGGTTGTATAGCACTGGAGAAAGTTGTGTTTGTATGTTTCTTGGTGTCTGAAATTTTCAATTTTTATTAATTGAGTGAATTACATGAAGAGATAAATCTTGAAGATGCTTACTGTTTATCATTAGGCCACTATATACCCCAGATAGCAGAGATAATGCTCCAATTCAACAAGAAAGAGAATCTGTTCAACTATTGGCCGACTTCGCTTCTTGAATTGTTCAATCCTGTTTTGAATATGGAGAACCTTTATATTATATATGTAACATACTTGCATTAGTTAACGGTTGAATTTTATTTAACTTGGTTGCCTTGCTTCTCGTTTGAATCCAATATTGTGTCAACAATATTTAGCTGATCTATTTAATTTCTCATAATTTATCTTCAATTTTAGCATTTTGTTCTTGTGTAGGAAGAACTCCAGTTTGCACTATGCAGAGCTCCTTAATTCAAAAAATGAAATGTACAGGGTTAGAGTTGAATAAGGTTTGTTTTCTTGTCCTATTACCAATGAGTCTAATTGTCTTTTAGTAGTCATATGATTACATACTACTGGTGGTGTAATGATTGTCTTTAAATGAGTAATGAAGTTGTTTCAAAGCACTGTTGTTACCCAGTTTTGGAAACTTTAAGGTGTATTCACCTTTGTTATACTTGTGTCTTGTTTTGTCATCTTAGGTCTTTATATTTTTCGCTTATGTCAATTTTTCTGGAGCTTTTTGGTTCTCTTTTAACATTGAAGTTTTCCAATGATTTCATTTAAAATCTTTATGCAGTTTGATCAACGTCAGAAATTCGTGGGCCTTCCGACGAGTGATGAGTTGCAGAAACAAGATATTCCAAAGAAGTTTATGGCTGAGGTGAGAACTAAATGGCCCCTCCTCCCACTTCTTTTCTGTACATTTTATATGTATTCCAAGTTTGAATATGCAGATACTAATTTTACCTATGTGAATTTGCAGCACCTGAAATGGACTTCTTGAGGGCAAACTTTAATTAACCAGGATGATAATGCTTATTGGGTGGGCTTTACTTTTCTGAACTTTTCCCACTCTTATATGTGAGGGGTTGGTTTGCTTGCTTTTGAAATTCAAGTATTTTTGTTGTGAGTATTAAAAAACAGGTGTTCTTTACTATTAGATTGTTTACCAATATTTTTAATGTCAGCTTTGCCATGGTTTTGAACAACAGTAGAATGTTCCCTAAATTCTATATATGCAACAACCCCCATTTTGAGGTACCATCAACAGCAAGACCCTACAAATCGCATCATGAAATGTCATGACTTAACCACCACTTCTTCATTCGTTCTTGCAGAAAAATTTTATTGATTTGAAGGGCTCACCATCTAAATATTTTGACTTTCTTGAAGTCTCTACGATAATGTAATATTTTAGGAATTTCCTCCTCATTAAAACTATTAAGTTGCCTACAATCTTTGTTACAGATCCTTGCTATCTTTATAGGATGTGTTCCATTTTTGAAGATATTAATCTTCACATCAGATGCTCCGCGCTATTTTTTCATTGATAGATGCTTGATTCTAGGGTATGTTCAGTTCCTTCCCAGAATGAGTTATATTTAATTTGCTTTGTGTTTTTATGGTTCTCCAATTGCGTATCACAATGCACTTTTGAGCTTCATTTGGATTAGGTATGCAATAGTAGACATGATTGGAACAATTCTGTAAATTAGATTTTAGCCTTTTCTTCTATAATAATGATCCATGGTGTCCAATCTGTACTACCATATATGTACTAGCATATAGCATTGCTGTTCCCATTTTTTTGTGTACATGCTGTTGCCGTATGAATTATGAGAGCTGTTAATTATGTTGGATTGATACATGGGCTTAACCATTTATGTTACATAAGTACAAATTATTGTATTATCATCTAATAATGTCTGGTTACCAGGGAAGCAATGATTCCATGCATATTGTTTGGTGCTTTAAAAAATTTTCATAAATATGTTGGGGATTAATGGTCTTTTGCTTTTATTAATTCCGTGGGGCACTTATATTGGATTATGCAACTATTACGACAAATAATTCATTTGTTGTATGAATATTATATGATCCTTAGTCCACATGTGGAAGGATTTTTTATGTTCTGGAATCATATAACTTTTAAGTTTCTCTGCATACTCAACAAGAGAAAGTTCATTCCAGTGTAGTGATAGCAAACATTGAGTTGAAGATGTAATTCTTGAGAATTCAACACATTTAATGCGTTAACATTACCTTCAAAGTTTCTCTGCATACTCAATAAGAGAAAGTCCATTCCAGTGTAGTGATATCAAACATTGAGTTGAAGATGTAATTCCTGAGAATTCAACACATTTAATGCATTAACATTACCTTCAAATTAGCCTAATGCACGGGCAAAGACTAGTAATACTAATAAATGTTGATAATATATTTGTTCTTTTTGAAGTTCGAAGACTAACTTGCTACTCGGTAAAATTTTGGCCCAAAAATGAATTTTTTCTTTTCCAAAAGTTACTTGTAAGTGAAGTGAGTTTAACTCTATTAAAAATAGAGATGGTAATAGGGTGGATCGATGGTTTTCAACCCTGATCCCATCGAGTATTTTTATCATGTTGTCCCATCTCCATATGTGATTAAGGAGGGACAGGGAGCAGCAAGTCCCTTGTCTGATTTATTGTCCCACCTTTTTCTTCATTTACGTTTATTTTTTTTGTCTTTAATTGATGAAAATTATTACGGTTTTTTTTTTTAAATTTATTAAGAATAACCCGTGTTTTTTTAGAAATGAATAGTCACATGCGAACTACATTGTATGTTACTCTGAAATGTTTTGTAAGTACAATAAAAATTAACTAAAACCTTTGTAGTTGCTATGTAACTTTGGGAGTTTAATTGAGATTTGGAATCTGCGGGCATTCACCCAAAAATAATAATAATAATAATAATAATCATGAATTGTTTTACCTCAAGTTTGAAAACGGTGGATAGAGAAAAAAACAAATTAAACTAATAATTGAATATTAAGATTAAGACTAAGGGTGATTTGTGGAAAATATAATTACAACGTAAATACTCATCATGTTTGACGTATTATCTTCTTTGTCAATTAGCATGAGCCTTAAATATCAAAATTTGCAACATTGTTGGATTAAGATTCGATCAAACCCTTTCGAACTACCGGCGCTTTACTGGACCTTTCATTTTAATTTGCAAACAAATCTCTTATTGCCTTTGATTCCGTAATGCAAGAAAGCAAAATATTTGATGATTAAAATGAAATCACCAATTTGTGAAAAACAATTTAAATAGTTGAGAGAATAATTCATTTACGTTTAAGACTCATGAGAACAATCAAATGCATTCATGAACATGAAATTTAATTAATTTGAATTAATGAATATAGAAAAATAATAATTTACATAGACATGATATTGAAAAAAAATAGACAAAAGGTTTGTGCGTGAATCTGGAGAATAAATTTATATAATAAATTAAATGAATAGTCTTGAAAATAAATAAGTGTACATGAACTAGAATAATTTATTTACTGCTAGAGTAATTGAATAGTCCCCAAAGTATAATTAATTTGCACAATTTTGTTCTAAATATGAGAGAAATGTATCCTGAAAATAAGTGTTAATTATTATACATGCACTCAAACAATGAAATGTACATTTGAATGTTAAATACATATTGAAATATGAAAAGTAAAATATTTTTGAAATAATTAAATTGTAGTCGGGTTAGAATAGTCCGAAAAGTGATTTTCACTTGATGTGATATTTAATATATCATGGATGATAATTCTTTTAAACTTAAATTTAAAATAAACTTTAAATCGATGCGAGTAGCGCAATGGGGATCATGTTTCCTGTATCTTGCTTTAGAGTGACAACCACTATCTATCCCGTCCCATTTACGCTATTAGGTGGGTAATGTGTTCCATTCAAAGCAATGTCCGGTGGATACTAGTTTAGTAGGATTTTTTATTTTTTATTTTTTATTTTTTTTTTACCATCCCTAATTAAAATGACGTTTGATAGCTTTTTACACGCACATTCAATAAATTTATTGCTGGGTTACTAAATTTTGATGACCGTGGTGTAACTACAGAGGATGTTGCAATATTATTTTTCAATGAACTAAATAATTGAATGAAATAATATGATTGATATAAATATATAGATGAGGTTACCTAACATTTATTCAATAAACTATAATAATAGACGGCTATAACTCGAATTTTTTGCCATACTTCAATCTTTTTGGTTTTATTTTGTTAAATTCAGCCCTTATCTGGGACTATTTATTCTTCAATTTTCAGCTATTTTTTTTATGTGCAACACTTAAGTGTACATGGATATAGATATATAGTTATTTTGATCCAAAAAAAAATGAAAAAGAAAGAAAAAAATAAACGTCTTAAACGGCAATGTTCTTGCTTAACCTAGACACCATTTGAAAAGAATTTATAATAGTCGAACATTATAAATCATTTATATATATGTCAAATAGAAATTTAAAAATAAAATAAAAAAAAAAGGGAAAGAGAAAGGAAGATATTTTTTGCACTTACTATTTTTATTTTTAACTTTTTAAGCTTTTCCAAAACGTGCGTATTTGCCTCATCAGCGTAATTTGCTCCACCAACAACCTGTGAATTATTGTACAGTTACACGCGAGTTGGATCTGGCGCCACCACATAACGCCTTCGACGTACAACTCAACCGCCCAAAGTTAGCTCTCCATGGCTCGAATTCGCCGCAGGTAACCGACGATTTTCTTCTTAAAATGCCCTATAAATAAGTAGAGACATTTATACGTAAAAAGCTCAAAAAGGTGAAAATGGGAACAGAAGACGGAGAGCCGTTGGATGAGAAGGCGAAGAGGATGAGAGATCTGTAATCGAGCTTCTACTCGCCAGTTCTTTCATCAGCATCGCCACCGTCAAATGCTTCTTTCTCCAGATTCGCTACCCTCGGCACCATCAACGCCACATCGTTTGACGCTGATCACCACATGAATCTCCTCGTATATCACTTTACAATTTAACTTGAATTAGAATTCTAATTTCTTCATATATAGACTTAATTTATTGAATGTTTTCAAGAGTTTAGTTTGATTGGAATTTTAAAGTTATAGATAGTGTTTTTTTTTGTTTTTTTATTTTTTTGTTTTTTTACAAGCAAACATGGCAACATGCAACGTCCTACCATTGAATTCATTTTATAATGTAAGGAGTATATTCTAGGGCTCTTTGGATTATAACATATCAAACTGTTGGTTTAAATAATATTGAGTTCCGATCAATTATGAATGTCACTAGAAAATTTTAGCTATAGAATACTTCTAAACGGGTTTATTGGCATGACACAGCTAGTCATTTGGGAACAAGGAATTGGAATTGAGAAACATTATAGAATTTCCCTAGCAGATTCAATTCCATGGCATGGTCATGGCTTTGATACTGTCTCGAGATAAATTTATGCACTGATAGTTCATTTATGATAGATTAGAAGGATAATGGACAGATTTAAAATGCTTCAGAATCAGTTGATTACTATGAGAAACTATCCTATTTCTTGTTGGAAACCTAAAAGAAATGCTATATTAAGAATCTAAATAAAACTTAATTGACAATACTGGTATAAGAAGGGTTGCAAAAGTTCTATTGATTTTGCACCACTATAAGATCAATCATTTCACTTCAACCTCACTAAGTCAGTTCATTTGTAATTTGGTACTGTCAATAAAATATTAAGCTTTTCATATGTCAGTGATGTCTTGGAGGTGAGTGTGAATATATAATTCTCATTTTTTGATAAACCTTGTTAGCTTATGGTGCAGCACTTAGCAGTGTATGTTATATTTATTCAGTTTATAGGACTATTTTTAATAATTATCTGAATGAACATTTCAGGTACAAAAGTCAAATTTGGAAGAACTTCTTAAGAAGCATGTCGAAATGGCTTCTGAGATTAAAAATCTGGATACCGACCTGCAAATTTAGTATATGAGAATTACGACAAGTTCATTAGTGCTACAGATGCATTCAAAAGGTAATTCTTTTGTCGATACAAACTTTAACCATATTCGTAGTGAATGTAATTATTCTTCTGACTGAATAAACATATATGCTGAAAAATTATTAATAGTGGTCATAACTTTTAATCCTCAAAAATTGTGAAGCACAATATTCAGATGATGTCTACTCCCTTTATAATGTTGAACATGTCCTGATTTTTGATGCATTTATTATTTCTTTTTGTCAATCTCATTTGTTTTCGCTGTTAATCTAAGATGAAAAATAATATAAATAGTATGGAAGCAAACATGGAACAGCTTAACAAAATGGTGTTTGGCAAGGATCTTTTTGGTTACTACCAATTGTAGTTTCAAAATAAATCGAGAAAAAGAAGGCAGGATGAAAGCTTGTTCAAAACAAAATTCATCGTAATTGTTGCAGATTCTGTCCTTGCAATCTAGGAGTGATGGGGTCAATACTTCTCTTTTTGCAAAAAGAGAACATGTAGAGAAGCTGCATTGCACACGCAATTTGCAGCGGAAAGTTCTGGTAATGTAATGAGTACCAATTAGTCTTTATGTTGAATTTCCTGCTACAGAACAGCCCATTGTTAATTTTGGCAAAATAAGGAAAGGGTGACTTGTATAAAGAAGGAACACGGCTGAGTGACTCATTCTGGTCTCTCCTTTGCTTTGAGAGTTTGAGCGGTATGATTAAATTAGGGAAGAAGCATCTTCCCATTATGAGCTGCTCTGAATTAGAAAATATGCATGATTGAAGAATATGATTTCAACATTGTCATTTTCTTTGAACTTGTGATTGTTTCCACCACTGAAGATAGATTTGTGCATGTTTTATACATCCTGTAAATTCTGCATGCATGAGTTAACACGGATTTCATCTTGTGTGAAAAGAGCTATTTATTTATGATCTACCAACAGGACTTGAGAAGTGTATCAAATCGGAAGCCTATTCCGATGCTATCAAGTTCTACACCAGAGCCATGCTAATTTTCAAGGTCGATATCTTCTTAATGAATGGGAAAGTTTGGATTTACCCATTTCTGTGCCCATCATTGGTAGTAATGGTGATGAACTTCTATTTTTCAATAATAGTTTGTTCTTTTTGACCCATTCTTTGTCTTCATTACCAGATATATGGGAACTTTTCCTTCCAAGATTGTAAGCGAGCATCAGAAGAAGCAGTGGAGACAATTATAAAAAAATTGCAAGCATAACCTCTTCTGTTTTAGTGCTTGGCAGTGAATGAAGCTAACATCATTAAAAATGGAATCCTTATTGAAAGGGTTATCTAGATGAAATATATCCATATATCAGAGTCTAAATGATTATCAACTGAGATTGTGATAAGAGTAGTGACGGATTCAAATTCAATTAAAAAGTACTACACCAACGTGATTGAATGTCAGTTATAAAATCTTGTCAAAGAAAAAAATGTTCCAATGACTAAATACAAACTTTAATTTAATTGACGGTCGCCATGCATAAAAAAAATATACGTGTCATAGATCATAATATGGAACACAACAAGAATTGTGGATATTTATTTTGTCAATTTTGAGAACATTAGTTTCTACAAACACAAATAATGGAGTTGTTTACCATGTGAGTAAAAGTGTGGCATGGATTAGTACTCATGAACCAAAACGTCGTGTTAGCTTAAAGGAAGATAGGAACCTTCTGGTTGTTATTGTTCTTTCTTAGAACCTTGGAATATAAATGACAATAGAGTTTTTACCATCCTCTGTCAGTACATAAATGATATAAAATGGCTGCATAATCTTATTCTCTTGTTTCAAATGAACAGAAAAACAACTCCATGTGCTTTTCCACAATAAGTGTTTCAAATGGAAGATAGGAACCTTCTCAAAAATTGGTGTCTTACGATGAAAAGCTATTAATTAGTGAAAATGATGTTCTATATTTTCTACTATTGTTTTCAGGGGAAGGTATTTTCAGATTCCTAGTCCCTATAAACAAGCGTTGAGGCTGTGATGCTTCTTAATCAGTTAAATTTTTCGATTTGTATTTCACATGCTTTTATTTTCTGATGATCTATAAATAGATGCAAATATGCATCTAGTCAAGGATGATTACACCTTGCAGGTGTGGAGAGTTAGTGGTAATCCCAGGGGGATCCCTAAATTTTGTTTGTCAAAGTCAGTCATTCACAGTCGTGGAAAACAATTTTTTATTCTCTATTGTTTGTTTTCCTATATTATTGTTCACTTTTTGATAGTTTTCCCTTCTCTGACAGATTGAGACTCTGAAGCTTAAATTGTTTGAGAAGTTGGGATAGTTCCTTTTGGATTTGCATTTTGAATCTAAGGACCTAAAAGTTGCTTTAGCAGATGATGAACTTTTCTAACCAAGGAAAAGTCAATATTTCGGCTTTTGCTGCTGTTCATGAAGTAAAGAATGAACCTAAATTTTATCCCCTTTTTTTAAAGTAAAAAGCATGTATAGATATTGATTGTTGGATTAAAAACTTGTATGCGTTAATATTTGCCCCTTTATGGATCACTTGTGGATGGTGTGTACATGTGAATAAGTTACAACGATGTGTAACTGTTTCACTCAGTATTTCATTTTTGATGTAATTACTTCACTCAATATTTTATTGAGGCACTCAAACAATTATATTTCAAGTTTATCCCAGAGTTCAAATCCCAGATTTTCTAGCCCAACTATTTTATTTTTGTGGCGTACAATAAAATATGTTTTTTTTATTTTGTGTTTCAAGTGTATCACATTTCAAATTACATTTGTGATATGTTTCTCACTTTTAGACTTCTATTCATGAATTTGCGGAAGCTCCTTCTGCTTATAGAATGATCTTTTCGTATTCAAAACCACAGCTATTTAAACTTGCAAAAGACCTTGTTATGAAGTATGGCTGCTCTTTCATTCCCAATTTTTATTTGATAATTCTTCTTTTGTGATTGAATCAGGCTGTAGTTCTTACATTTTTGCTTATGATTTATATGGTTTTGCCCAAATTTTAGGGAATTTGAACCCACTCGTAAACATATTTAGAAGCAGCTCCACTCTGCGGATATTTTGGCAATCCTTTGTAAGTAATCTTTGTTGCAGTATCTCTTCATTTGTTGTAAACTTGGTGTAAAAAATGCTACTTTCAGCATTTGTAGGTGTGCAACTTCTTTTGGTACAATTTTGCTTCCTAACTGTAGTGGATCATGTTAGCAACTGACAAAATAAAGAGGGGTAATGATCTTGTCTCTGTATGAGTGATAAGGTCTAACACTTCCTTCTTTTATCATAATCTCCTTTTCCATTTATTTGGTTATTCTGTACATGAACAAGTTCTTGAACAGCATCTAACAAGCCGTTTGATAGCATTTGTTGTCACTTTATTATCTTTAGAACCGTTCTTTCAACAGAAACACATTTCTTCTAAGGAATTTTGTCTCTAAAACTTCTAACTTGAATGTAATTTTAAAATTCATTTATTTACACGAGCCATTTGGATTGATGTGTTCCTACTTGATGAAGTGTTACCTGGGGCTGCCCTCCCTAATTTTACTCTGTAGGTCATTGTCGATTCTGCAACTAAAATAGATGGCAATACATCTACATGTCTATCTGGATTGTTTTGTGACTTGTATTTATTGAGGATGATGAGCTGATAAATGTACTGTTTTCAGGCTGCTCTTATTGCTGTCAAAGATTATATAACCAGTGCAATAAGTCATCTTCTACTTGATATTTCAGGTTAGTAATCATTTCAATATAGAGCAGATCAAGAAGTTCAATTACTTGGATTATAGGTCTGCTTTGTTTTTTTCCCCCTTCTTTTTCCTTTTAGATGAAACCAGCATCTACATAAAGGTAGTTTAACAAATTCAAAGTCTATACTTTTGCATGATTTTATTTGTTTAACTTTTCTTCTCTGGTAGACGCTTTCTCAAAAATCCAAGTTATGCAAAATGAGGGAACAAAGAAAGCATACCCTTTGAAGGCAGCCTTCGAGGCCAGCAAAAAGGCATTTATCCAAGGTAGGATGATGTCTTATTGGTAATGACAGAAGATAAGATGCCAAACGAATTACTTTTATCATGTGATGTGATATTTTTCGGTCCCACTATGCTCACTTTCTTTAAACCTTACAAAGCTCTCGCTTCTGGCTATCTTAAAAGTAACATTCTGGGGATTTATTACTTTCCAGTTTGTGTATATAGGTGTGTTCTGTTTCAAGTGAAACTATAGGATGACAAATGAGACCGTCCTTCCTTTTCAAGTGTAAAATGTTATTCAGTATTCTGAAGAATCCAACATGATAAAATATGTGACTTAGATTTGCAAACAAAAAAGGTGAGGATAATTAATACATTATCTTGATATTATACAAGATAAAAAACGATCTTAGCCCACTCACCTTTGTAGGTGTTTTCCACACCTCAATGGCTCTGATGCCCATCCAATGCCCTAGGAATAGGAGCCTATCCACATAAGAAAGAGTATGGGCCCTTGCTCTTAATTTAGTTTAGACGCAGCTCGAATGCCTTTACGCTATAAATGATTTGTTTCCAGCACCCAAACTTTCCTATCCCCAGCCAAATGATAAAATATGTGACTAAGATTTGCAAACAGAAAATGTGAGGATAATTAATACATTATCTTGATATTATACAAGATAACTCTGTGAAATGTAGAACTCGGGATGTTACTCTATTGACACCTTTGCTTTAAGGTAACAGTTTATTCCTACTTTTCTCATATTCTAAAATTCAAACAACAATCAAATATATGGGGCCCTTTGCAGTTCACCATAATGATCGACAGATCATAAACCAAACTATTCAAGAGCTTTCTATCCATATCATTCAAACTGCTACAAATAATTTTATAAGCATAATTTTTGTTAGAAAGTATAAGGTAATGCTTGGCTTATTCTCATGATTTACTCTAAAAGATTCATATTAGACATCCATTTTGTCGTTGCTCAAAGTCACGTATGTAGATCATTCTTTTTATTCCATTTGTCTTTAGTATTGAATTAGCCTGTTGTGTTGATCTAACTTCAACTCCAGGTGATGACACATGATTTTATTTGCCGAGTTTTCTGCTGCTTCCATACTGTCTAATTTATTTGTGAATCCAGGACTTACATCGCCTTCTCATTGAAAATTCTAAATAATTACTGGAGTTGAGATGCTACACAATGGACTGGGTCCAAGAAGCGTTTCAAGATGTCTTCAGGAAAGTTTATGACTATTTCCTCTTGCTTTGTAGAAAGAGTGACTCTGCCAGTCAAGATCGCAATTAGATAGGAGCACCAAGTGACAAAATTCCTGCTGGTCCTGTTCTTGTAGTGGTTCAGTTATGCCATTTTATAAAAAAAAGTGTTGTGCCAAGAATTTCTGAGGCAAGAAACCAAATCGGAGTTGTTTTTTAGTCATTAAATTAAATAAACACAATCATAATTCCTCAAAACAATCAGGTCCTCCTATGAATGTTCTATGCTAAATTTCAGGAAATAGCATCTTCTTTCTCTGGTGGAGGGGTTCGAGGCTTTGCGTATGGTCCAACTTTTGTTCTTGCAAAAATTTGTTGCACCTTTCGGGTAGATGGTAAAATGCATTTTCACTTTGTAAGCATTCAAAATTTATATCTCTTTCCATTGTCAAGAAATTTTGTTACTCATTAAGTTAGACATGCTGATGCAGTTCAATTTTTGAATGAGTTAATAAGCATTTTTTTGAGCATGTTATGTCAATATGCCTGTTTAACAAGGAGGTTGATTTCATCCCATTGCTTGCAAAAAGCATTATTATCATGTGTTAGTTTCGTCTATTAACCATTCTCTTAGCTTCAACACTTTCTTTCACAATTAATTGGTAAAGCCTCTTCGGAGCGAGAAAATGGGTCTACTGACTTTGTTGTGCTTATTTTAGTAGACAGCCTCAACGGCATGTCATACCTTTCCCACTTCCATATCTTAGCTTAGGCTAAAATCTCTTGTTAAGCAAAAAGAATGGTAGTATACCACGAAGAACATAAAAAATTGACTGTTAAAATAAAGTATTTTAGTTCAGAGCACGTAGTTTTCCAATAGTTAATGTGTGGTGCATAACAAGAAAAGGAGATTATACCTCAATACTTATTTTGATCTTTCCATCCTTGCAGTATATGAAGATGAGAACTCAAAGAGTAGTAATCATTTTGAAGAAGAGGTTTACAGCACCGAATTGGGTCAAGGTTAGTACACATCTTGAAATCGTAACTTCATTTTCCCCCGCAAAATACTTCAGTGTCATATTTATTTCACCTCTGTCCCGTAGCACAAAGAACCCAGAGAAGTGCATATGTTTGTCGATCTACTTCTTCAGGAAGTATTTCCATTTTCATAATTTCATGCTCATTTTTTCCCTCTTTATTTATGGTAAGAATTCTGTAAACTTTCCTTCTATATTATTTTTGTAGGTTAATTCCTGCTATCAGTGCCAATAAATATTACAATCTAAACTAGTTCAATATATGAACCGAAGCAAAACAAATTTTACCCCACGGTCTTCATCATAAACATCGATGCACTGACAGCAATGGGAGCATTACATCCTCATGCAGCAGTACGTTTAGAGACAATAGGATGAGCTGGTCAAATACTCAGAAAGCTGGGAGCCAGCTTCTGGAGACGCATCTAGAAAAATTATTTTAGCAAAAAATGGAGATTTTCACTAAACCAGAGACCACACAGATTTGGACACTTGCTGTAGATAAATAAGGTGTATTTGTATGGTGATAAAAGTGAAATGAGATTGCTATTACTTTGCAGGAATTTGTCATAACAACTATAGCAAAACTTTCTTTGAAGAGTTTACAAGACTTAGTCAGACTCTAGACCTTCAATCGGAGTGGATTCCAGCAAATTCAGTTGGATATTCAGTTTTTGAAGTCTCCTTTAAAGGAATTTGTCATAACAACTATAGCAAAACTTTCTTTGAAGAGTTTACAAGACTTAGTCAGACTATAGACCTTCAATCGGAGTGGATTCCAGCAAATTCAGTTGGATATTCAGTTTTTGAAGTCTCCTTTAAAGGATATTGCCGAGGATGAAGCTGCAATTGATTTCTTGCTTGATAAGGTAAGAAGCCGAATCTTTGTTAAATCGCTATATGACACTTGCAAGTTCAACTCTACAAAGCAAGGTTGTTTCCAGCTTGAATTGGTGACAAAAAAAATTGAAGCAATATATGTTTCCTCACAATTAAACAAAGTTAAGAGTATTTTGACTTAGTAGTAAGTCCACCCCAAGTACTTTGCTATTCGATTCCCCCAAGCTTTTGGTAGCAAAGTTGAGAACGGGATGGGTGCATTGCCTGTGCAATTGTAGTGAAAAGTCCCAAGATGCTAGACTCATAATATTTTTCTCTCAAATAAACTCTCTGAACACATCCAAAATAATGAAATACATCCATAGGATCAATAACTAAGTAGTTGATTAGTGTCCAAAAGTACTTCAAAGATATATTATTTACAAAGCATTTTGCATTCACTTTGTTTAAATTCACTATTGTTAGTCTCTAATTTCAATTCTTTTGCCGTAAATTTAATTTTCATAAATACATGGTTAATCGAAATATGTATTTAAATAAATGTCGGCATGCGTATTATACTTTTGAAAGAATATTGATTTGATGTATTTCACATGTATTTTCAAGGTAGAACAAGTGAAAGAAAAAATGTTGAAAAGTCAAGAAAGATTAGCTTTCTCTAGTAAAGATGCAGCTGTCTCGATAAAATGGTCATAACTCAAGATATAGTTATCGAAAAAAGGTTATTCAAATTGGATTGAAAAAATAATATATATATCTACAACTTTCATGTTTACCAAAAAGTCAAATTCACATCATAAGGCAGCCAAAATTACTGTGCAAAGTCTAGCTTGTTACCTGTCGAATACAGCTTTTCTACCTATGAGGCAGCACTCATTGCTTTTGTCATATCTGGAGTTACAGAGATCCAATGAACCTGATATTTGCACCAATGGAAAGCTAACTCAATTGGAAACAATTTACCTTGATCATAAGTCCAAATTCGCTATACAAAGTATTTGAAAATTGGCATCAAATTGCATGTTCCAGCTGTCTTAAAACTGTACAAAATCAAGTTGCATTGTCCACTTGCATTTTGGATGTTCTTTTGCCTATAAAAGGGGACATTGGCCAAGATTTTGAGGGAATCAATTCCTCTTCACCATATTCTAGTTTCCTTCATTTTCTTTGTAACATTTCATTATGTATTTATAAATCATTAGCTAGAGTTAGGGGTGAAATTTTGGTTAATGTGTAGTATTGTCTTTGATATTTCACTTTATTCTTTAATACTCATCTTCTTACTTGGTTGAACTATATGTTCTACAAATGGTTTTGGTTTGTCAAAGACTTTGATTTATTGTTGACAATTTTGGCACAATAAATGCTTAGATAATTTCTACATACCAACAACTTATTTTGACATATTCTCTCAAGCAATTATCAATATCTATCTTTTAATATATTTGTAATCAATGTTTTATCTTCCATATTTCATATGAGTTAAATAAAAGATCAAGAGTAATTTCTACTCATTTATCTAAAGTGAATCCCCAACGCTCTAGTGTTCTTCTTTATCGTATTTTCACCAACCATTTATTACTCATAGAATAGTTTATTTCCTTCCAATTCCCTGTGGTTCGACCTCGGACTACCGAATTTACTACTTGCGACAACCTTCACTTGGATTTTCAACCTTAAAGTTGTAGTAGTAGTAGAGTTTAATTTAAACTCAAACAAGATTCATTTAACTCAACAAGGATTTCTTTATGTGCAAGACTCCAAAACTGACTGTAAATTAGAGACCAAATTCTGCAAAGATTCTACTCTCAACTTTAATTAGAAGTCTTCCATACAATAACTACCTTTTATTATTTACAATAGAAGTTCTTAAACTTTTGACTTTTGAGGCAATTACCTATCAATCTCCACCTTACCGAAAACGAGTCAAAATCTTGTTATCTCTTCTTAAACTTTTAATCACAATACTTGGAAAGAACAGGTAAGCCTTTGACACACCATAATGGTCCCATACTCCACCAAATGAGTATAACCACTCAGAATTATTCATGAACTCCAAGCATTTCATCGGCTACATGTCGAAACAACCCTACGATAGTTATTGTGCAACTCTCCCACTGTCTTTTCTAGAGAGCTCATCAGCCATCGACATCACAACACCACCACGTACCTACACACCTTCCACTACCACTGTTATTTCCACTTTCACACCAGTGAAGAACTTGGATTCTCAAATTCATATATTCAAGTATTAAGGATGACAAATTGGTTCGGGGGCTCGGGCGGCCCATAGCTTAACCTATATGGCTCGCGGGCCAAGTCGTAATTTGGGGGGAATAAAAATTGAAAGCAGTACGTAAAGGCAGCACGATGTTGCCTTTGTATTAGGGGTGGAGGCAGGTCGGTTCGGTTCGATTCTAAAGAAAAATTGAAAGCAGTACGTAAAGGCAGCACGATGTTGCCTTTGTATTAGGGGTGGACGCAGGAGAATCGAACCGAACCAAAATTTTCGGATATCTAGTACATGGAACCGTCGGGTCCAAATATAATTATGGAACCATTTGGGTTCGGTTCGGTTCTGTACTATAATTAAATTTTTTAACATTTATAACAACATTATATAAATACAACTAATGACACATTCAATGGTTTTGGAATGCCATAGACTAGTAGACTACCTTGTTCAAATGATCGCTACGGTCAAAGTTTCGATCGGCGGAGGTCACAGTTTCGATTGGAGGTCACAGTATCGGACGACGATTGTATAGGTTTTGGAATGTCAGCGAGGCTGCGAGAGTGAGTGCAAGAGTCGAGACAACGTTGTGCACTTTAGTGTAGGTGTTTAGAGTTATTTAGTGAATTGGACCTTGTTGGACTAAGAAATGAAATAATAAAATGGGTAATGGGGCCAAAAATTAAAAAATTAGAAATGAAACAAATTGTTGGGCCAAAAATTTGGATTTAAAAATTGTTAATTTGTTAATTTTTTAGAAAAAATTAAAAATAAAATAATTTGATTTACTCAATATAAAAAAAAATTAGAAAGATTCGGTTCTTCGGTTCTTGGTCTAGAACCGAGAATCGAATCGTACCCGTCGGTTCTCAATTCAGATACCTGTTCGGGTATTTAATTTGACAAGAACCATCGGGTTCGGTTCAGTTCAGTTCAGGTTCGGTTCGTATTAAAAGGCAACAGGCAGCTGCCTTCTTAAAGGAAGAGAAAAAAATCGAGCCAAAAGCTCGAGTCGAGTCTCAATTTTTTGGCCGAGCTTTTACTCAACTCGACTGGGGCAAAAAAAGTCCGATCTAAAAAAGCTCGAGTCGAGCCCGAGTCTTAATTTTCGACTCGCGAGCTAGTATGACTTGACTCGACTCGACTCATTGACGCCCCTAGCAAGTATTGAGGGGGATTAAAGCATGTGACGAAACAAGTGTAGCATAATGCATGATGTGGTACTTGATGTATTGTAAAATAAACTAATAAAATTAGTATTTTGAGAATAAAAAAGGTTTAAAAGTTTATTCTGAATTGTGTTAAATTCACCAATAACTACCTAACTTTATACTTAAAGTCACCATGACTACTCAATGTGATTTTGTTTCATCACGGTCACCCAACTTTATACTTAGTATCACCATGATTATCCAATTTGATTTTATTTCACCATGACCATGAAATTTTATATAACGTTGAACCATTACTGCTCAACTTCTTTTCATCATTTTTCATTGATTTCAAAAGTGATAAAATTGTAACTTTGCATTATATATATAACATAAATTAAAAATAATAATAAAAGTTTTTTATTTTAAAATAAATTATTTTATTTTATTTTATTTTTCCAAGTAAATTTTTTTTTATAAAATAAGTTTTTATTTTTTCTAGAACATTTTTTTTTCAAAAATAAATTTTTATTTTATTTTTCTAAATAACATTTTTTCTAAATAAGTTTTTATTTTATTTTAAAAACCTTTTTAAAAAAAAAAAATTTTCCTTTTATTTTTTTATGGAAAGTTAACCTTTTACTTTATTTTACTTTTAAGTAAAGTTTTTTTAAATAACTTTTTATATTATTTTAAAAATATTTTTTTATTTTATTTTTTAATTAACATTTTTATGTTATTTTAGTTTTTTATGTATAATGTAAAGTTACTGTTATACCCCTTTTAAAATTAGTGAAAAGTGTGAAATTAAGTTGAGTGGCCATGAAGAAACATTATATAAAGTTGGGTGGACGTAGTGAAATAAAACTAAATTGGGTGGTCATAATGATACTAAGCATAAAGTTCGGTGACCATTGTTGAA